TTGCAATTTGATTGTGATTTGGAGACAACACTGTAGAATTGATTTTTTATAAAAAATAAAGTTAAAAATAATTAGTGTTAGACAGAAACAGAAATCAGAAAATGTATTTTTTGGGATTTAAACTCCCAGAATCCCAGTCAGTATGGCTGGTTGAACCCAACATATTCTGAGTTTGACAGGATTTCAATAGCATCACGGCTAATGTAATTCCTACTTGCCAATAATAAATGTTACTGTCCCTCAGGAAGACAACTCTGGAGCACACTGATCCAACCATGGGTAAAGTTTGCATATCAGCAGTGTTACAGATATTACCTTGCTAATGGTAGTACCAGTGTACAAATTATTTGTGCATCTCCATAATCACTAATAATAAAACACTTGACACGGCTCTGAATAGTTATTATGGATGGTTTCAATTCTGTTTGCTTTCCCTCAGTAAGGGTAGGTAGACAAGACGAGTGGGTATATTTTCATTTTATGTTATAACCACTAATCATTCCCATTTAAGCAGTCTAGTATGTGTAAACTCTTGGGGACTACATCTTAATCTAACATTTACTCTCCTATGTTCTGATCATGGCTAAATTGACCATAACTAATTTTGTTTTTAGTCTGTTGGCAAAGGGGACAATGTTTTGTACCAATGAGTTAAAATGTTTCCATTTTGTATATTGGAACTCTGCCTATACAGTTTGCAATGCCAGCTGGTTCTTTTCCAGAGCAGAGAATCAACTCATCCTTTGCAGCTCTCAATTGTCCCTTTGGAAACAAAACCAACAAATGAAAATGTGGATCCCTTGCCACAAATGGAAGATAAAGGCATTTCTACCTCCCTCTGATATGCCACATTAAGTAGGTAAGTTATATCATATTAGAAGGTTCAGGGAAATGTTTTGGTTTCACTAAAATATATCCCTACAAAGTTGTATTAATAGATCTATTTTCATGCCTGGGTTATGAGATGCTTAACTGATAACAACAGCCAATCATATGGGGCAGGGTTGTAATGGCATCACATAACATAAATCTGAATGTTATGGAGCAAAAGACCTGAAGGTTACTTGTCTGTGTCATGTGGTTCACACTGTGTAGTTCTGGCTTCCTGCCAGTGAATTATGTGTTAGTCCACATGTCATACTCCACATATGAACAGTTGTCATGCTGCGAACACTTATTTCATCTGGGGAAGTCTACAAACTTGCACAACTAGAGCATACCCATGGTTATAGCAGCACATGAGTAACTACTGTGTACTCTGAAAGAGATGCTGTCAGTTTCTGAGTTGCTGAATACATAGTTCATGGTAACATTTCCTGCTGTGGCTATGAGGCTCTGAATAAAGCTTGAATAAGGGCCTCTGTAGACTGGCCCAAAGGACTGCCCCAACCCCAGCCTGATGACGTATGGTGCGTGGGATCAGGACATCCTCCCGGTGCAGCGTCCTGATGCACTGTGCCAGAAGGGGCGCTAAAGAGCCATGCGTTGGCTCTTAGGGCACCCATTTGCCACCCCTGAAAAGAGCGGCATTTTGCCACTCTTTTGGAGTGGCAAAAAGGAGGATTGGAGCCGTGGCTTGGGGTAGCTGCAGCCCCAATCCGCAGCTAGCAGAGGCAGCCCAGAGCTGCCCATCTGCAGCCCCCCTTAGTTACATTTTTGGACAAAAGTTCCTAAAATCCCCCATCCTGAATGGTTAGTAAAGATGGACAAAAGTGACTTCCATACTTTGGTGTGATACGTTTTGGTGTGACCCTTCAATCTCATTTATACAGAAGAGGTAGATAGGGACAAAAGCTCAGGTACAATTGGGCTCATGCAAAGATAGAGGTGTCACAGTACAAGCGCATGATAGATCAATTACTATACTACTGTATTTCCCAAAATTCAAGAGTATCTGTGCATTTCCTAAAAGGTTTTTGGGCAATGGAATTGCCACCTCTAACACCAGCACTCATCCCTTGAAGACAGTACCAAGTTGGCTCTATATTCTAGTTCAGATTGGTTGAATTCTTCAAAAATTCTGCTGAAAATCCATACTGCTGTGTCATTCTAATATGAACAAAATTTCTGTAGCTTATCAGAATGAGGTTTCATTAGCAAGCCTAACCAAAGAGAAGGGGAGAAAAACAAAACAACAACCCCTTCACCAATGCACAGAACTCTACTTATTGGTACTATTAGTCCATGACCTTTCTTGAATTCCAAGTTTATTCAAAAATCTAAGAAGATGGAGAATCATAGCTTAGCTTTTAAAAAGGCTTGGATAATAGAAAGGTAAATGATATCCCTTGAGTCACCTTTTTGCCTTTGAGAAGGAGTATGTTTAACAAGGCCATTTCTACACAGAGAACATATATTTTTTAAAATGAGATGAAAATGTAGAAAGCAGACATGCCCTTTAGCACACTTCATACACTTCGAAGTCTTTCCACAGGTCTCATGGGAAAGTTATAAAAAAGTTTACCAACTTTAATTAGGATTTATTGCTATGAATGATTAGTTTGCTCTGAATGTATTGTAAAGGAGCTAACACAAGAAGCTGTTCATTATATTTATAAAATAATTTATTTTCCTTGTGTGTGTGAGGGGCAGATTTAATAGAATCACTGACCTGGAATACAACTGAAGCTGATGGGGAGATATGAATTATCTGAAGAACATGGGCTAAATCTACATGAGCAAAATAATCCAGATCCAATGTGCAATATTTTGCCCACATTTCACACCATTTATGCCACACTGAGAAAGCTAGAGTGGTGTAGTGGTTTAAGTGTAGACTATGACCCTGGAGACCAGGGTTCTAATCCCAGCTCAGCCATGTAAACCCAGTAGGTGACCTTGGGCAAGTCACACTCTCTCAGCCTTGGAGAATGGCAAAGATAAAGCCCCTCTGAAGGAACCTGCCAAGAAAACTAAATGATAGGGTCATCTTAGGGTCACCATAAGTTCGAAATGACTTGAAGGCACACAGCAACAATGTCACACTGACCCATAAAAATGTTTCCCTGGGCTAAATTCAATTTGGTACAAAAGGGCATTTCTTCCCATGTGCTTTATTCCCTTCCCAACATGCATAAACCTACCAACCTATTGTTTTCTGTCAATCTTACCCACTTTACATTCTCATTGGATTGCTCAATGCACATGAGCAAGCATTTATGTGTGTGCGCATACACACACATGGGAGAGAGGATGTGTGGTGTGTGGGTCTCTGAGCTACAAGTGGGGCTCAGCTGGGAAAGGGGCAGCAGCCTCAAGGAGAAGGAGAAAGAAAAAATGGAGTGAGTTAGGTGCAAAACACATTGCAGAAATTATCCAGTTTCAGAACATTTTGAGACCATTTTAACTGTCCAGGTTCAGTGCTAGGGAATTCTGGGAACTGTAGTTTTGTGAGACACATAGCTTCTCTGTCAGAGAGCTCTGGTGCCAAAATAAACTACAGTTCCTAGGATTCCCTAGCACTGAGCCGGGGCAGTTAAAGCGGTCTCAAACTGGATTATTTCCACAGTATATTTCGCACCTCAGTAAAGTCCAAAACACACTACAGAAATAATCCACTTTAAGACCACTTTAATTGCCCCGGCTCAGTGCAAGGGAATTCTAGGAACTGTAGTTTTATGAAACATTTAGCCATCTCTTTCAGAGAACTCTGGTGCCAAAATAAACTACTATTCCCAAGATTCCCTAGCACTGAGCCAGGGCAGTCAAAGCGGTCTCAAAATGGATTATTTCTGCAGTGTTTATTTGACCTTAGTGATCATGTTTGAGTGAATTTTAAATGTTTCACATACACACTTAAGTGGCACACCCTACTGCCACCTCCTTACTTTTACACTTTAATTCCAGCTAGCTGTACTTTGGGAACTTGTTATCCCCACTTCTACCAGTGACAGGGACTCACACTGCCTTTTGTATGTAGTCCCTCCTCCAGAATAACAAAATATTGGTAACGTGTTTTGTGACTAAAACAGAGGCCAAGATGTTGGAATAAAAAAGAAGTTTATTTTACATGCAATAAAGGTAACTTGTTTCAGGATTTGCTCTTATCATCTTTCTTTGGGCCTAAGCAGATGGCTAATTCAGCTGTCTTTGGGGCAGGGAAGGGGAGGGGCAGCCACACGCTTGGCATCCTATCCCCCTCCCGAGGTCGTCCTTGGAGCAGCCTGCCCTCTGCACGGCTGGCGCTCTGAGGAGGACCTCCCGCTGCAGCGTCCAGACATGCTGGGGTGGAAGGGTCGCTGAAAGTGTGCTGCAACCTTTCCAGGGGCGCCGACGGTGCACCGCTGGATCGAGGCATGGGGATGCCTCGGTCCCGCAGCGCACCTTCCCAGGGTGGCCCACGGCCGCCTGTCTGCTTAGGGGGTTAGTTACAGACTTATAACATATGTTACAAATTCAATCACAGTACCTCAGCCCCTGTGGCTAATAATATCTAACTGGAGAGAACACCACAGTATGGGCCTAAGCAGATGGACGGCCATAGGCCACCCCAGGAAGCTGCGGATTGGGGCCAAGGTAGCCGCACTCCTCAGCCCCAACCCGCAACTTCGCAGGCCCTGGAAGGAGTGCTAAAATAGCGCTCTTTCCACAAGATGGTGAAGGTGTGCCGCAAGAGGCCTTGGGCGCACCTTCAGCATCTGTTCCGCCGCAGCGTATGCAGACACTGTGATGGAAGTACATCATCAGAGTGCCGGTTGTGAGGAGTGATGGGCACTCCAATGACATGTTCAGGAAGGGGTTGGGGCACCCAGCGTGAGGCTGTCCCTCCCCTTCCTTGCCTTGAAGACAGTGCAAAGCACCATCTACTTAGGCCCTAACTCTCTCTCCCAGAGCTCTCTGTGTGTTCAGTTTACTCTTTCTATCTCCCTAAAATTCAGTTCCCACAGGAATATTTTACCACAGCCCTCTCACTGGCTTAACTTTCCCAACACACCCTCAAACCCAAATCTTCTTCTTCTCTCTAACTGTCAGCCTGGGCTTTTATATTACTCCCAGCTGAACTCCCATTGGCTGACTCTCAGCTGCTAGGTCACTTTAACCTCTCTAGCTGCCCCATGTTGCATACTGGAACTTGTAGTTTCAGAAGGGGCATTTAGAATATTCATCCAGAGAGCCTTTAAGCCTCACTCAACAACAAACCCCAAAATGCAACAGGAGGCAGTCAGAGCAGTTAAAGTGACCTAGCCCCAGTTTAAGAGTGTGGTGTAATAAGCTCATGTGTTTGTGGGACCAAGATAACCATTTGATCACCTGTCCTGCCCTCAATCACTGCCCCCCCCAAAGAGCCACCCTGATCCTGATATAAGAAAGCTGTGGAGTAAAAAGTAAGTTTCTCTAAATGACATTAAAGCTTAAAAGAGGCGCTTTCACTGTGACAACAGTCATATGTCATGTGTTCCAACAGCACCGGAATCAAGGTGTGTAGGGACTTTTTTTTACTAGTGTGGATCTGGCCTTATTTTAAGAAACAAATAAACTTGGTGTTCTCATGCAAACATGCCACTCAGTGAAAAGTGAAGTTTGATGCAAAAATGATAGAAAAGATTTACATTTGGTTTCCTTGTTGCTTTCAGGTTTTGTTTATTCAGTTTCCAAGACCAAATCAAAGGTTGGTGTCACTACCCTGCCACTGGCAGCCAGTGGTGTCAGGACATTGTTGTTTAAGTGCATGATAGTTACCAAAGTCACGCTTGTAAGGAGCCCTGGTGGCACAGTGTTTAAATCAGGGGTAGGCAATCTTTCCCCTTTAAAGGCCAAGGGACTTCAGCTCTCAGAAGCCTCAGCCATGTTGGCCAATAGTCCCATGTTGGCCAATAGTCCCATGTTGGCCAATAGTCCCTCGGCCCTTAAAGGGGAAAGGTTGCCTACCCCTGGTTTAAATGCTGGTACTGCAGCCACAACATTGTAAATTTGATCCTAGAGGAGGGCTCCAAGGTCCACTCTGCCTTCCATCCTTTTGTAGGTTGGTGAAATGAGTACCCAGATTATTGGAGGCAATTGGCTTACACATTGTAAACCACTTAGGGAGTGCTAGTTTACTGATAAGCTATATAGAAATGTACTTGCTATTGCTATTTCATGACAGAAAAACTTACCTAGCTAGTGTCTGGGAAGGCAACCAGATGCTGATAGCAATCCAAAACAAGCAAGCCTCAAAGAACAAACTTACAAATAAAGACAGAGTCCAATAACAAAGTTCCATGGATCAAGCCAAGGGGTCAAATCAAGAACATAGCCAAACAGTCCAGGAAGGTCAAGAGTTCCAGAGAAACAGGATAATCAGGCAGTCCAAGAATCAAAGGTCCAAGCCAAAAAAGCAAATGGAAGGTCAGGAAGCAGCATGCTTTCACCAGCAAACTGAAATAACTTCTGATGAAAGCTTTGGTGTCTTTCCCAGGCTTTTTATTATCAGCCCTCATTAGTGCAGGTTTTAATGAGCTGATGTTTTTCATAAAGCCTCCCTGTGCACCAGAGGCATGCCCTTTCTGTTCTTCTCTGGCTGAAGGTAGGTATGTGATCTTCCTCCATGTCCACAGTACTAGAAGGCCCTGCTGGCAGGAGGTTTGGCTCCTGGTTGTCTTCAAAAGCCACAGCCTCTGCTGGAGTTTTCAAGGCAGAGCTAAGGCCAGGTTGAGGCTGAGAGTTCTCCCCGAGTCCTCAGGCAGGCTAGGTATCACAGCTAGAGGCTATTCACTCCACTACTAGTAGTTCTAGTACAGTAATTTTCATTTCCTTCAAGAGCAAGTCTTTGTACAGTTAGTGGGCCCTAATTGCACATTTAAGATCCAAAATGCTTTGAATCACAAGATGATAACTCATTGTTTCTAGATGCTCCATTTCCTCTTCAGCTACTATATAGATTGCAGCTAAACTCAGAACGAGCATGTAGAAGTGTGGCAGGCTATCATATCATCTCTGTTAATCAAAAACTCCTTACTCCAACTCTGTGAGACATGACTCTACTACACACCAGCTGGGAGCCCAAATGTCTACTATTTGGTAGATAGTTTTATACTGTAAGCATATAAGAATTTAGAAGAGGCATATTGTATATGTCTTCCAGTTGATAGTTTCTTTGTCAACATCCATTAATTGTTCTCATTAATTTCTTCTTGGAATTAAGCTTATTTCTTAATTACATCCATTCCTATGAAACTACCCAAACTGGAAAATGATGGCAAGTGATCAGGAGTATGTTGGGTTGGATTTGAACATCCAGTTGATCCTGGATGATTTATGGCTAATATATTTGTTAAGGCATCAATATGTTGTATGTTGTCTGTTGGTGTTCCAAATGCTACTATTCCTGGCTTAACTGTGTTATGTATTATTAAGCATGACTATGGCAATACTGTCTTCCCTCTGTATTCATGAAAGTTAGGGGAATGATACCCCCATGAAGATGGAAAAATCATGAATAACTCCATACTATAATACTAATAACCATACTAATACCCAGCCCATTTTATATGTACCATTAGGAAATTGATTAGCTTAACTAATTAAGAATACTGTAATAGACAATAAGCAGATATTGTCTGATTCCTCATTTTTAAATAGTGGCAGAGAAGCTGCCTTTCTGCCCTATACCATGTTGCCATAAAAATTGTATGGTCTTTTTAAGGCTAATTCCAATCTTGCTTAAGATCACTCTATAAGATGGACAGGCAGATGATAGATATGTGTGTGTGTGCATTGTTGTTGTGTGCCTTCAGGTTGTTTCTGACGTATGGCAACCTTAAGACAAACCTATCATGGGGTTTTCTGGGCCTGAGAGTGTGTGACTCACACAAGGTCATCCCAGAGCTGCAGACCAA